AGCTCACTTCATCGGATGTAGCTCACGAAAGCTTATGCTCAAATAAATTGGTTAGTCTCTAAGGTGCCACAAGTTCTCCTTTTCTTTTTGCAAATATAGACTAACACGGCTGCTACTCTGAAACCTAGGATGTATCAGGTGAGGCATTTCCAGTAGACACAGAGAAGTATTAATGGCATTGTAGAAAGCCCTGGTAAGACCTCATTTGGAATACTAAGTGCAATTCTGATCACCCATGTTCAAGGAAGATGAATTTAAAGTGGAACAGGTGCAGAGAAGAGCTACGAGGACGATCAGGAGAATGGAAGGCCTATTTTATGAGAGAAGACTGGATGAGCTTGGCTTGTTTAGTCTAGCAGAGGGTTCTCAAACTGGGGGTCGGGACCCCTCAGGGGGTTGCAGTTTGAAAACCACTGCTCTAGTGGAATCGAGACTACTTAGAGATGAATGAGTCGGCTTTTAGCTCATGCAGTAGAGGCTCATGCATTTAGGTTCAGAGGTCCCAGGTTCAATCCCACCCGCAGGTTGTCCTCATTAGGAAAGAGAGACAGATCACCATGGAGGGACTAAAGCTTGTACCAGGCTAAAGGTTTACTCTCTCTGATGGAGGGAATAAGGAGCAAGAATGACAGGCTTACTGAGGGCAGTTCCTGGTTTGCAATAGCACATACAGGTACAAAGAATACTGTAGGAATCAGATTATTCCAAGTTTCTGAACATGGAATACACAATGCTCTGGGCTCAACCATACAATCAGGGGCATGGGCCCCCGGATCAGTGGGAGCACAGAACTCCTCCGGGGCCAGGGCAGGGAGAGCAAGCTGCCCTAGGCCACAGTGAGAGATGACAGCTCCTACAGCCCTGGGGCTGGGGTGGGGGGGAGATCCAGCTAGGGTGACCAGACAGCAAGTATGAAAAATCGGGACGGGGGTGGGCGGTAATAGGCACAGGCACCAACTTTTGTCAGCACCAGTGGGTGCTCGCGTGCCCCCACCCCAACTCCATCCCTCCCTGCCCTATTGGATCCCTCCCCAAATCCCAGCCCCAGCCCCACCTCCTTCCCCAAGCGCGCTGCGTTCCCCCTCCTGCCCCTTCCCTCCCATGCTTGCCGCACAAAACAGCTGTTTTGCAGCACAAGCGCTGGGAGGGAGGGGGGGAGAAGCAGGACCTGCACGCTTAGAGGAGGAGGCGGAGCGGAGCAAAGGCGGAGGTGAGCTAGGGCGGGGGGGGAGCTGCTGGTGGGTGCAGAGCACCCAGCAATTTTCCTCATGGGTGCTCAAGCCCCGGAGCACCCTTGGAGTCGGCGCCTATGGTAACAGGAGCCTATATAAGAAAAAGACCCAAAAATCAGGACTGTCCCTATAAAATCGGGACATCTGGTCACCCTAGATCCAGCTCCTCCAGCTGCCGGGGGAGAATGAGCTCCACTGGCTGCTGGGGGAGGGCAGGAGAGCCAGCTCCACCAGTCCCACTGCTGCGGTGGGGAGAACCAGGTCCTCTGGGGACATGATGGGAAGAGCCAGCTCCTCCGGCTGCGGGGAGGGAAGAGCCAGCTCCTCCAGCTGTGCGGGACACAGAAAGTCCCCCTCCAAAAGGGCCAAATTTTTATTCCTGTGCACACCCCTGTATGTAACTGTTTTCTTACTGTAAGTCATACCGGCTGTTTACAGAAGTCGAGGCAGAATCCAGCGCTAAACTGAAGATTTATTTTATACTGAAATTGGGGTACAAGACCTTCCCTATATGGGAGGATTAGTCATTGCTCCCACCTCCCCTCCTGTGATTAATGGGACAGTCTGTTCCCTGTGCTGTGCCTCAGTGGGCAGCATGGCTGGGCTGGGTCCACAACACCCAGACTGGGGTGGCTGGTGTCTACAGGATCTCTGAATCCACAGATAAATACACAGCCTCATGGTGATGCTAGGGACAGTTCCCCTTAGGAAGCACCACTTCTGGCACCTTTGGGAGCTCCACACCCAGTCCCATGCTCCCTGTTATCTCAGCACCCCACACATGCTCCCCCCCGCACCCATCCCCATATTCCCGTTATCGCAGCACCCAACACACTCCCCCCTGCACCAGGCCCACATTCCCCCCCACACACCCCCAGCCCCACGTTACCTCAGCACCACCCTCGCTCCCCACACACCCAGCCCCATGTTCCCCCGTTACCTGAGCACCCCACACATGCTTCCCCCCACACCCAGCCCCATGCTCCCCCGTTACCACAGCACCCCACACACCACAGGGTGATTACAGTTTTTTGAGGCCCTGGGCCAGAGCAAGTGGGGGCCCCCCCCCCCGCACTCCTGCCAGGGAAATGGAGTCGAGGCATGCCCCGTCCCACCCAGCGCTCCTGCCAGGGAGCTGGTTCAGGGCGTGGGGGCACCCATTTTGCCAGGGCCCCCCAATTGGCCAGGGCCCCTGGGCATAGACCCTGTTAGCCCACTGGCTAATCCACCACTGCTACTCACTCCTCCCCACACCCAGCCCCATGATCCCCCGTTACCTCAGCGCTCCCCACCCCCGCACCCAATTTACCTCAGCACCCCCCAGAGGCTCCCCCTGCACTCAGCCCCACACCCACCTCTGTTACTGCAGCATCCCCCACATGCTCTCTCCCCTGAACCCTGCTTCATGCCCCCCCGTTACCTCAGCACTCCCCACGCTCCCCCCATACCAAGCCCCATGATCCCCCGCTACCTCAGCGCCCCCCACGCTCCCCCCATACCCAGCCCCATGATCCCCCGCTACCTCAGCGCCCCCCACGCTCCCCCCATACCCAGCCCCATGATCTCCCGCTACCTCAGCGCCCCCCCTCCCCCCATACCCACCCCTGAACCCCCCTACCTCAGCGCCCCCCTCCCCCTACCCAGCCCCATATCCCCCCTACCTCCCCCCCACCTCCTCCCATACCAAGCCCCATATCCCCCTCTACCTCATCCCCCCCGCTCCCCCCATACCCACCCCATGATCCCCCCTACCTCAGCGCCCCCCACGCTCCCCCCATACCCAGCCCCATGATCCCCCCTACCTCAGCGCCCCCACGCTCCCCCCATACCCAGCCCCATGATCCCCCCTACCTCAGCGCCCCCCACCTCCCACCATACCCAGCCCCATGATCCCCCCTACCTCAGCGCCCCCCACGCTCCCACCATACCCAGCCCCATGATCCCCCCTACCTCACCCCCCCCCTGCCCCCATACCAGCCCCATGATCCCCCCTACCTCAGCGCCCCCACGCTCCCCCATACCCAGCCCCATGATCCCCCCTACCTCAGCGCCCCCCACGCTCCCCCCATACTCAGCCCCATGATCCCCCGCTACCTCAGCGCCCCCACGCTCCCCCCATACCCAGCCCCATGATCTCCCGCTACCTCAGCGCCCCCCACGCTCCCCCCATACCCAGTCCCATGATCCCCCGCTACCTCAGCGCCCCCCACCTCCCCCCATACCCAGCCCCATGATCCCCCCTACCTCAGCGCCCCCCACGCTGCCCCCATACCCAGCCCCATGATCCCCCCTACCTCAGCCCCCCCACCTCCCCCCATACCCAGCCCCATGATCCCCCGCTACCTCAGCGCCCCCACGCTCCCCCCATACCCAGCCCCATGATCCCCCGCTACCTCAGCGCCCCCCACGCTCCCCCATACCCAGCCCCATGATCCCCCCTACCTCAGCGCCCCCACCTCCCCCCATACCCAGCCCCATGATCTCCCCTACCTCAGCGCCCCCACGCTCCCCCCATACCCAGCCCCTGAACCCCCCTACCTCAGCCCCCCCACTCCCCCATACCCACCCCATGATCCCCCCTACCTCACGCCCCCCCTCCTCCCATCCAAGCCCCATGATCCCCCTCTACCTCATCCCCCCCCTCCCCCCATACCCACCCCATGATCCCCCGCTACCTCAGCGCCCCCACGCTCCCCCCATACCCAGCCCCATGATCCCCCCTACCTCGCCCCCCACCTCCCCCCATACCCAGCCCCATGATCCCCCCTACCTCAGCGCCCCCCACGCTCCCACCATACCCAGCCCCATGATCTCCTGCTCCTCAGCGCCCCCCCGCTCCCCCATACCCACCCCATGATCTCCCGCTACCTCGCACCCCCCACCTCCCCCATACCCGCCCCATGATCCCCCGCTACCTCAGCGCCCCCCACCTCCTCCCATACCAAGCCCCATGATCCCCCGCTACCTCAGCGCCCCCCCTCCCCCCATACTCAGCCCCATGATCCCCCGCTACCTCACCCCCCCACCTCCCCCATACGCAGCCCCATGATCCCCCCTACCTCAGCGCCCCCCACCTTCCCCCATACCCAGCCCCATATCCCCCCTACCTCAGCGCCCCCCACCTCCCCCCATACTCAGCCCCATGATCCCCCGCTACCTCAGCGCCCCCCACGCTCCCCCCATACCCAGCCCCATGATCTCCCGCTACCTCAGCGCCCCCCACGCTCCCCCCATACCCAGCCCCATGATCCCCCGCTACCTCAGCGCCCCCCACGCTCCCCCCATACCCAGCCCCATGATCCCCCCTACCTCAGCGCCCCCCACGCTGCCCCCATACCCAGCCCCATGATCCCCCGCTACCTCAGCCCCCCCACGCTCCCCCCATACCCAGCCCCATGATCCCCCGCTACCTCAGCGCCCCCCACGCCCCCCCCATACTCAGCCCCATGATCCCCCGCTACCTCAGCGCCCCCCACGCTCCCCCCATACCCAGCCCCATGATCCCCCGCTACCTCAGCGCCCCCCACGCTCCCACCATACCCAGCCCCATGATCTCCCTCTACCTCAGTGCCCCCCACGCTCCCCCCATACCCAGCCCCATGACCCCCGCTACCTCAGCGCCCCCCACGCTGCCCCCATACCCAGCCCCATGATCCCCCGCTACCTCAGCGCCCCCCACGCTCCCTGCACACAGCCCAGAACTCTCCCTCCTGCTGTCTCCCGCACCCCACGCTCTGAGTTCGCCCCACGCCCAGCCCAGGCTCTTACCCAGAGAGGCGGTCAGGCTGAGGAGCACCATGGCCAGCAGGGGCCCGGCGGTTCGGGGGACCCCACTCCCCATCCTCCTGCCGCCCCGCTGGAAGCCCCAGGAGGCCGGTGGTGCCCAGGGCCTCGGCGGCCAGGCGGAGCGATCCGCCCCGGGCCCGGCAGCTCCCTCCTCCCGGGGCTGCTTAACCCAGCCCCTGCTGCAGGGCTGCGGGAGCCGGGTCCAGTCCGGAGTCAGACCCCGAACAAAGCGAGCTGTCGCTGTCAGTGCGTGTGTGCCCGTGCCCAGTGTGTCTCCCCTATTGTGTGCTTGCGTGCCGAGCGTGTCCCCCCCGGTGTGTGTGCCCCTAATGTGTGTGTGCCCAGTGTGTCTCCCCCCCGTGTGTGTGCGTGCCTAGCGTGTGTCCCCCCAGTGTGTGTGTACCCCTAATGTGTGTGTGTGTGTGCCCAGTGTGTCTCCCACAGTGTGTGTGTGTGTCCCGTGTGTCTCCCCCCATGTGTGTGTGCATGCCTAGCGTGTGTCCCCGCAGTGTGTGTGTGTGTGTGCCCCTAATGTGTGTGTGTGTGTGAGCCCCTAGTGTGTGCATGCATGCCTAGCGTGTGTCCCCCCAATGTATGTGTGTGTGTGCCCCTAATGTGTGTGTGTGTTCCAGTGTGTCTCCCCCAGTGTGTGCGTGTGAGCCCCTAATGTGCGCGTGCATGCCTAGCGTGTGTCCCCCCAGTGTGTGTGTGCGCGCCTCCCTGTGTGTTTGTGCGCCCAGTGTATCTCCCCCAGTGTGTCTCTGTGTGTGCCCAGTGTGTCTCCCCTAGTGTGTGTGGAGCCCCCCCCAGGTGTGTGCATGCCTAGCGTGTGCCCCGCTGGTGTGTGTCTCCCCCAGTGTGTGTGTGTGAGCCCCTAGTGTGTGTGTGTATGTGCCCAGTGTGTCTCCCCCAGTGTGTGTGAGCCCCTAGTGTGCATGCCTAGTGTGTCCCCCCAGTGTGTGTGTCCCCCCGTGTGTTTGTGCCCCAGGTATCTCCCCCAGTGTGTCTCTGTGTGTGCCCAGTGTGTCTCCCCTAGTGTGTGTGAGCCCCTAGTGTGTGCATGCGTGCCTAGCGTGTGTCTCCCCCAGTGTGTGTGTGTGAGCCCCTAGTGTGTGTGTGTGTGTGCCCAGTGTGTCTCCCCCAGTGTGTGTGTGCCTAGTGTGTGTCCCCCAGTGTCTGTGTGTGTGCCCAGTGTGTCTCCCCAGTGTGTGTGTGTGGAGCCCCTAGTGTGTGTGTGCGTGCCTAGCGAGTGTCCCCCCAGTGTGTTTGTGTGAGCCCCTAGTGTGTGTGTGAGTGTGTGTGTGTCCAGTGTCTCCCCAGTGTGTGTGAGCCCCAGTGTGTGTGCCCAGTGTGTCTCCCCAGTGTGTCTCCCTCCAGTGTGTGTGTGAGCCCCTAATGTGTGTGTGTGCCCAGTGTGTCTCTCCCAGTGTGTGTGTGAGCCCCTAGTATGTGCGCGTGCTCAGTGTGTGTCTCCCCCAGTGTGTGTGTGAGCCCCCAGTATGTCTCTCCCAGTGTGTGTGTCCCCCCAGTCTGTGTGTGATCCCCTAGGGTATGTCCGTGTGTCCAGTGTGTCTCCCCAGTATGTGTGCATGTCCCCAGTATGTCTCCCCTAGTGTGTGTGCCCAGTGTGTCTCCCTTAGTGTGTGTGTCCCCCCACTGTCTGTGTGTGTTAGCCCAGTGGGTGAGTGCACCCCCACTGTGTGTGTGTGTGTGTGTGTGCCCAGTGTGTCTCCCCCAGTGTATGTGTGTGTGCCTAATGTGTGCGTGTCTGCCTCCAGTGTGTGTAGCCTGTAGCGGTGCATGGGATTCTTCCATCCTAAATGCAGGACTCTGCACTTGTCCTTGTTGAACATCATCAGATTTCTTTTGGCCCAATCCTTCAATTTGTCTAGGTCACTCTGGACCCCTATCCCTACACTCCAGAATATCTACCTGTGACGGGTTGGATCACAGAAACCCCCTTGGGGCTGCCAACTGATGTGCCAAGACTACTTCTGCCCCTACCTTCCCTGCCAGCTTGGGACTCCAGAACCCTGCCTGGTTGTGCCAGACATGCTTGCTGGCTACAAACACAGACCCAGGTCTGAACCACGTCCCACAAACTGCAGGCTTAACGGAAAGCTGGTTAAGAAGTGTTCCTGTCTCTCTCACTCATATGCCCAGCTCCCAATGGGGTCCAAGCCCTAAATAAATCTGTTTTACCCTGTATAAAGCTTATACAGGGTAAACTCATAAATTGTTCGCCCTCTATAACACTGAAAGAGAGATATGCACAGCTGTTTGCCCCCCCCCCCCCCTGAGGCATTAATACATACTCTGGGTTAATTAATAAGGAAAAATTTTATTTTATTAAATACAGAAAGTAGGATTTAAGTGGTTCCAGGTGATAACAGACAACAAAGTGAATTACCAGTTATGTCATATATACATTCATGAGCATATTCCCATAAAGCATTATGGGATGCAATGTCACACTACCTCTCCCCCCACCTTACTGTCATCCATTAACTTGCTGAGGGTGCAATTCATCCCATCATCCAGGTCATTAATGAGATGTTGAACAAAACCAGCCCCAGGATAGACCCCTGTGGCACTCCGCTTGATACCGGCTGCCAACTAGACATTGAGCCGTTGATCACTGCCCGTTGAACCTGATGATCTAGCCAGCTTTCTATCCGCCTGATAGTCCATTCATCCAGCCCATACTTTTTTAACTTGCTGGCAAGAATACTGTGGGAGACTGTATCATAAGCTTTTCTGAAGTCAAGGTATATCTCATCCACTGCTTTCCCCATATCCACAGAGCCAGTTATCTCATCACAGAAGGCAATCAGGTTGGTCAGGCATGACTTGCCCTTGGTGAATCCATGTTGACTGTTCCTGATCGCCTTCATCTCCTCCAAGTGCTTCAAAATGGATTCCTTGAGGACCTGCTCCATGATTTTCCCAGGGACTGAGGCAAGGCTGGATTCTCCTTCTTACCTGAGTTCCCCGGATTCTCCTTCTTCCCTCTTCTAAGATGGGCACTATATTTGTCTTTTTCCAAACTTATGGGACCTCCCCTAATTGCCAACAGTTTTCAAAGATAATGGCCAATGGCTCTGCAATCACATCAGCCAACTCCCTCAGCACCCTCAGATGGATTAGATCCAGACTCATGGACGTGTGCATGTCCAGCTTTTCTAAATAGTCCTAAACCTGTTCTTTCACCACTGAGGGCCGCTCACTTCCTCCCCATACTGTGCAGCCCAGCCGTCTGTGAAGACCGAGGCAAAAAAAGCGTTGAGTACCTCAGCTTTTTCCACATCATCTGTTACTAGGTTGCCTCCCCCATTCATTAAGGGCCCCACACTTTCCCTGACCTTCTTGTTGCTAACATACCTATAGAAACCCTTCTTGGTACCCTTCACATCCCTTGCTAGCTGCAACTCCAAGTGTGATTTGGCCTTCCTGATTACACCCCTGCATACTCGAGCAATATTTTTATACTTCTCCTGAGTCATCTGTCCAAATTTCCACTTCTTGTAAGCTTCCTTTTTGAGATTAAGCTCACTGAAGATTTCTCTGTTTAGCCAAGCTGGTTGCCTGCCATATTTGCTATTCTTTCTGCACATCGGGATGGTTTGTTCCTGCACCCTCAATAAGACTTTAAAATACAGCCAACTCTCCTGGACTCCTTTCCCCCTCATATTAGTGCCCCAGGGAACCCTGCCTATCAGTTCCATGAGGGAGTCAAAGTCTGCTTTTCTGAAGTCCAGGGTCTGTATTCTGCTGCTCTCCTTTCTTCCTTATGTCAGGATCCTGAACTTGACCATCTCATGGCCACTGCTGCCCAGGTTGCCACCCACTTCTACTTCCCCACCAATTCTTCCCTGTTAACACATGCACAGATGCTGCTGCTGCAGGAAGGGTGGGGGTGGGGAGAATGGGAATGGTAGCAGAGTAACACCTGCAGAACCCACTGTTGGGGAGGGATGGTAGCAGAGTGACATTCATACAGAGCCTTCTGCTGTGCAGGTAGTAGACGGGGCCCACACAGGGCCACTTACAGAGGAGAGGCATCAGCGGCTGGGATATTCCTTTTCCTCTGCCCCTCCAGCTGCCTGAAAGAATGTGCACCAGACCCCCAGGGTCTCCTGCTCCCCCTGGTTTGCTGTAGTGCCAGGAACAATCAGTTGCACACATACAAAATGGGAAATGGCTGCTTAGCAAGGAGTGCTGTGGAAAAAGATCTGGGGGTCATAGTGGATTACAAACTAAATATGAGTCAACAGTGTAATGCTGTTACAAAATGAGCAAATATCATTCTGGGCTGTATTAGCAGGAGTATTGTAAGCAAGACACGAGAAGTAATTCTTCCGCTCTACTCCACGCTGATTAGGCCTCATCTGGAGTATTGTGTCCAGTTCCGGCCACCACATTTCAGGAAAGATGTGGGCAAATTGGAGAAAGTCCAGAGAAGAGCAACAAAAATGATTAAAGGTTTAGAAAACATGACTTGTGAGGGAAGATTGAAAAAATTGGGTTTGTTTAGTCTGGAAAAGAGAAGACTTAGAGGGGACATGAGAACAGTTTTCAAGTATATAAAAGGTTGTTACAAGGAGGAGGGGGAAAATTGTTCTTCTTAACCTGAGGATAGGACAAGGAGCAATGGGCTTAAATTGCAGCAAGGGCGGTTTAGGCTGGACATTAGGAAAAACTTCCTAACTGTCAGGGTGGTTAAGCACTGGAATAAATTGCCTAGGGAGGCTGTGGAATCTCTATTATTGGGGATTTTTAAGAGCAGGTTGGACAAACACCTGTCAGGGATGGGTTAGATAATACTTAGCCCTGCCTTGAGTGCGGGGACTGGACTAGATGACCTCTCGACATCCCTTCCAGTTCTATGATTCTATGAATATGTGGCTGACACACCGTTCTCCCTTCCTTCACTGCATACGACCACACCACTACCACCAACATGAGCCAGTGTTTGGATGAGATCAGCTCATGGATGTAGGGTTGCCAGGTGTCCAGTTTTTGACCGGAACATCCAGTCAAAAAGGGAAACCGGCAGAGTCCAGTCAGCTACACTAAAAGTCCAGTTACATGCAGTAACTGGCCGCCACTACCGGCGCCGGCCAGGGAGGGGACCCTGTCTGTCCCCACCCCGCTGTGCCCTGATTCCCCCACCTCTCGCTCCAGGGACAGACCCCCGCCCCTCACCGTGCCTCGATTTCCCGACCTCTCGCCCCGGGGCCAGACCCCCACCCCTCGCCGTGCCTCGATTTCCCCACCTCTCGCACGGGGGACGGACCCCCGCTCCTCGCCGTGCCCCGATTCCCCTGCCTCGCGCCCCAGGGATGGACCCCCGCCCCTCACTGTGCCCCGATTTCCCCACCCCACCCCTCGCTTCGGGGACTGACCCCTGCTGTGCCCTGCTGTGCCCCAGCAGGTGGGCAGGCTCCGCATCAACTCCTCCCAGCCTGGCTCTGCAGGGGACAGGTGAGTCCCATGGGACAATGGGATTGAGAAACCTGCCTCATGTGACACTGGACCTGCCCCATGAGGCATTGCAAACCCTTTGCAAAGCACCCTGCAATAGTCTCCCGCAGTGCAATGCTCTCTGTCTTGATGCAAGAGCTACTAGTGTGGACAGGCTCTGCCGACACAAGGAGCATTGTGTGGACATGCAACAGAGGTTTAATTGAAGCCGTTGCTGTATGTCTGCATAACTTTTGTCAACAAAACTCTGTAGTGTAGAGAAGGCCTATATTATGGCAAACTCCTCACAGGTGCCTATGCTGGGTGCTGTGAAAGGGAGCAGTGTTGGGCTGTTTATACAGACCCAGCACTGTTCCTGCACAGTGGGGATTCCTCCAGGGGACACTGCAGCCCCTGTACATCGCTGGAGAAGAGAAGAAGAGCTGCAGCTAGGGCTGGACTCTGGCCCAGAAAGCTGAAGGACTGTGGACAGTAACACTGTGAATTGATGGATAAGACTGGAGATCTATGTTTTCTTCCTGGTTCTGTGGGCAAGCCACTTTACCCCTCTGAGCTTCAGTTACCTCTTTGTAAAATGAGGGATTATAGTTCCCTGCCTCATAAGGGTGCTGTGATGCCTCCCTAAATAAGGTTTGGGAAGTGCACAGTACTGCTAGACCAGTCAGTGGTGGTGATGCAATGGTGAGAAGTGCCATGGAAATGTCAAGAAGTCAGAGGTGAGTTCCGGTTCAGCCCCCCAACTCCTGTTATACTTATAAGCAGAACACGGGATCTTTATGGGGGAGAAGGCAGCACGCCACATTTATTGAGAATACAACAGTTAGCATATGCTTTTCAATCATACAGACACACACCATGCACACAGTCCTGCCAGTCGATGTTTATAGTTACCAGTCCAGAGTCTGGATCAATCTAGTGGCCAGCCAGATTGGTCACAGAGGGGAGCAGGGCTCTGTCGGTCGCAATGCGATGCTCCTGGAGTGTGGCAAGATGAACCCAAAGTTCCATGGCCAAGCACCCTCTTCTTATAGTCTTTTTTCTCTGTTGAAGTCTATGGATTTTGCTGTGTCAGTTTGTGACCGGTTACTTCTTAATTGGTGTATCTTTTGATGTAAACATTCCAATACACCTCCCAGAGGGTCATCCTGTCCTGGTTCCAATTTAATCAATTGTCCTGTCTTTAGGGGTGCCAGCCTTCACCTCAGGGTCGTCAATCTGCCCTTCCTTCATTATGAATGCACGTTGATGGTTCTCTGGTGTCGTTAAGTCTCTTCACTCCTTCTTCCTTGACCATCTGGCTATAACAACGGCCTTTACACCTTATCTTTTCCTGACACATACATTCCTCATTCACACAAACAGTCTTTCATGAGACCTTTGAGAATACAAACAGTGTCAGTTTATTTTGAGCAAAAGACATTGTAAATTAAGCCTTCCTCTAATCTCCTTAACTAGACACAATACAAGATCCTGTCTCTTACTTACTAAACCTTAAAACAAAGAAATGTATATTTAACTTGAATGCCTAATTTGTAATACATATAGGAAACCATAGTAGACATTATAACTTATCCTAAAACAAAAGGGTAAAGCATAATCAGTCGTAAGGATTGTTCTGGTCTGTCCCTGCCTTAACATCAGTACAAGCACTGGCAGTCTGTCAGATGCATTTCTACCAGTGTCCCAGAGGGTCATTCCTTTCTGCTATTCAAAAAGGGTGGCTGGCAGGATGAAATCAAATCATACATTAATTCTCATAGTACAATTATAAAATCCTGCTCCTACACTCCCAGCCCAGGGCCCCATCTCCCATGCAAATGAGCCATGCTTTCTTGAAGGAACAATAGGTCAGGACTCTCTCTACAGTTACAGAACTTTTCACCACGCGGAATAACTCTGCAGGTTACAGTACAACAGTGTTTGCACCATGTGGAGTACAGTGCAGTTTGTAGTGTAATGGGGAGGTTGCACCATGCTAACACTGTATCTTAAAGTTTAGCAGGGGTTGCACAATGTGGAGTAACACCGCAACTTAGGTATAATGGGATTTGCACCATGCAGGGTAACACAGCAACTTACAGTGTAATGGGGTTTGCATCACACAGGGTACCATTGCAGCCTACAGGAGCGGCGAGTTGTATGGGCCCGTGGTGCCTGGGCTTCAGCAATATTCAGGGCCCGGGGGCCCGGCTCCACCAACATTTGGGGCCAGGTCTCTCCCCCGGTCCCACCTGCCGCCCCCACGCATCTCCTCCAAGTGTCCCCTGGCCCCCACTTGCTGCCCTCATGCACCTTCCCCGGGTCCCAGAGCATTCCTGCCTCTCTCCTGCAGCTCCATGCTGACTCAGCTCTTCTGGCTCCCTGCATCAACTGTGCCCCCCCTCACTGGTGGCAGGGCAGGCTGCCCTTACCCTGCCCTTCCGCCTCAGACCCTTCCCTTTCCCGGCAGGATCCTCCACCAGCACAGGGGGCCCCCTCACCCGCAGTCACCGCTCCTGCCCTACGGTGGGCAAGGGGCAGCCCTATCCCTCACCCCCATGGAGGCTACAGTGAGGGGCAGCAGCAGGGGAGGAGAGGCATATGTGATGGCAGTCCCCCCCGGCACCCACCACAGGGGAGGCAAGAGGGCTTCCTGGACCTGAGAGGGGCCCTAGAGGCAAGTGTAGTGACAGTCGTGTGAGGTGAGTGTGCTGCCGGGGAGAGAAAGGGGGGTCCCTCCCCCAGAGCTCACTGCTGCCAGCGGGGAGAGGGCTGGGGGAAGTCCTCCTCTCTGGCCTCAGCCCTGGGGGCAGCCTGCCTGCACCTCAAACTCCTCAGCCCCGCCCCACTCCAGAGCCCGCACCCCCAGCCAGAGCCCTCACCCCCCCGGCACCCCAACCCTCTGCCCTAGTCCTGAGCCTCTCCCACACCCCAAACTCCTCATCCCTGGCCCCAGCCACAGCCCTCATCCCCCCGCACCCTAACCCTCTGCCCCAGCCCTGAGCCCCCTCCTGCATCATGAACCCCCCACCCTCACTGCAACCCTCTGCCCCAGCCCTGAACCCCCTCCCACACCCCAACCTCTCATCCCTGCACTCCCTCCCAGAGCTTGCACCCTCTCCCATCCCCAAACTTCCTCTGAGAGCCTGCACTCCTCACCCCCTCCTACATCCCCAGCCCAGAGCCTGCACCCCCACCTCCTGCCCCAGCTTGGAGCCTGCACCCAGCACGCAAACTCCATCACTAAGCCTGCACTGCAGACCCCCTTCCCCACCCAAACTCCCTCCCAGAGCCCAGCCTCTCACCCCTTTTGCACCCAAACTCCTTCCCAGAGCCTGCACCCCAGACCTCCCCCCACCCAAACTCCCTCCCAGAGCCTGCACCCCTATCCCCAGCCCAGGGCCTGCACCCCAGACCTCCCCCCCACCCAAACTCCCTCCCAGAGCCTTAGGCAGGTGGGGGTCAGAGTTTGGGGGGGGCTTCTGGGCACCACCAAAATTTCTACAAACCTGCCACCCCTAACAGCTTACAGTTTAATAGTGTTTGGAACACATTTTGAGGGGGAGAGTAACATTGCATCTTACACTCTAAACGCATTTGCACCAGGCACAGGTAACACTGGTGCTTCCAATGTAACAGGGTTTGCACCACATGAGAGAGGGGTAACAGAGGACAGAAGAATCCCAGGCACCGCTACAGGCTGGGGACCGACTGGCTAAGCAACAGTTCTGCAGAAAAGGACCTGGGGATTACAGTGGATGAGAAGCTGGATATGAGTCTGCAGTGTACCCTTGTTGCCAAGAAGGCCAATGGCATATTGGGCTGCATTCGTTGGAGCATTGCCAGCAGATTATTCCCCTCTATTCGGCACTGGTGAGGCCACACCAGGAGTACTGAGTCCAGTTTTGGTCCCCCCACTGCAGAAGGGATGTGGACAAATTGGAGAGAGTCCAGCGGAGGGCAATGAAAATGATCAGGGGGCTGGGACACATGGCTTACAAGGAGAGGCTGAGGGAACTGGGCTTATTTAGTCTGCAGAAGGGAAGAGTGAGGGGGGATTTGATAGCAGCCTTCAGCTACCTGAAAGGGGGTTCCAAAGAGGATGGAGCTCGGCTGTTCTCAGTGGTGGCAGATGACAGAATGAGGAGTAATGGTCTCAAGTTGCAGTGGGGGAGGTCTAGGTTGGATACTAGGAAACACTGTTTCACTAGGAGGGTGGTGAAACACTGGAATGGGTTACCTAGGGAGGTGGTGGAATCTCCTTCCTTAGAGGTTTTTAAGGTCAGGCTTGACAAAGCCCTGGCTGGGATGATTTAGTTGGGGATTGGTCCTGCTTCGAGCAGGGGGTTGGACTAGATGACCTTCTGGGGTCCCTTCCCACCCTGATATTCTACGATTCTTTGATTCAGTTGACAGCGTTTGCAGCACATGGCGGGAAACACTTCAGCTTACACTGTACGACTGGCCGGGGCCGGGGCGGGATGGGACGAAACGGCCCGCACGGTGCGAGGGCCCACGGCGGTTTACGGCGGGACGGGACAAGCGCGTTGCACAGGATGACGCTGCACCTGCGGCGTAACCGCACCACGCCGCGGTCCGCGCAGCACACGGCCCGCGAGGCTTCGCCTCCCACGGGGCACCGCGGCAGCTGACTGCGTCGCGGGGCCCAAAGCCCCCGTTTCCCGCTGCCCACGGGCTCCCTCCCGCGGACGGCCAGTGTGCAGGGCGGGGGCACGTCCGCAGCCCCGCGGCGCTGGCAAGGCTCCCGCTCCGCGCCCGAGCGACCCCCGCACCGGAAACCCCGCGCGGCGGCAGCCTGCCGCGCGGCCAGAGCGCAGGGCTCCGTTGCTGGGTGACGAAGGGCGGCGTCTACGCGGGGTGACGTCACCGGCGTGCGCCGGCGCCCAGAGCTGGCGGTTGGCGCGGCGGAGGCGGCCGGGCCCTGCCGCGCAGCCTCGGGTGCGCCGCTGCCCCCCCGTTCCGTCTAGCGGGAGCGGGCCCGCTCCGGCCTCCGCGCACGGCTCCCCTCAGCCGAGCCCGGCCCAGGGCCGCCGGGACCCGCCCGGCCCGCGCCGCCATGGCCCCCAAGGACGTCATGACCAACTGCCACGCCAAGTCCATCCTGAACGCCATGAACGCGCTGCGGCGGAGCGGCACGCTGTGCGACGTGACCCTGCGCGTGCAGCGCCAGGCCTTCGCCGCGCACCGCATCGTGCTGGCGGCCTGCAGCGACTACTTCTGCGCCATGTTCACGAGCGAGGTAGGGCGCGCGCCGCCCCGCTCCCGGCCTGGCTGCGCGGGGCCGGCGCTGAGCGCGTCCCCCGCGCGGCGCCAGGGAGCGCGCAGGCGCCCGTCCCGCCTGCAGCCGGGGCGGCTCTTGCCCCAAGAGCCAACAGCCTGGGGACCGCGCAGAGCGGGTTGGCTCAGGGTCATACAGCAGGTCCCCGGCAGAACCACGAGCAGCAGACCATAGCGCTGAGCTCCAGGCCCGGCTCCCCTATTTGATAATGATTCACACTAGCTGCACATTCTTCCTTTGCACAGTGCTGAAAGGAGATCACGTTTGGCTGCTGTTTGGCTCAGATGGTTGAAAAGCAGGAGCTGTCTGTGGCTTTGGTTCAAGCTTAATGCTGTAGCAAACGGAAAAAACATGGAGGGGGCAGTGAGGGATTGTGGAACTGGGTTTGTAAAAGATACGTTTGTGTTGTCTCTTACCAGAGAAGATAATTTCCTTTTTCTAGTAGCCTTTGAGTTGGTATGGAGAGAGCGGGCTGAAGCAAACTGAGATTCTGTCTCCCTACAATGCCAGTAGCCCTTTCTGGGGATACCATTTTCCCCAGATCTTCGCAAAAGATGTGAATAGATGCATGCCTTTACCTTATGTTTCCTTATTTTTGCAATCTTTAATTTTGCATTATTGTCCTTCAGCAACCTTGGCTGCCTTTTATCAAGTGTCTGTGTAGGTGAATATGTGATTTAAAAAAAATTGTGAACTTATTGCTGGTAAATGTGCAGGATTCACTTTGCTGGAGATTGAAGCTTTTTATCCACCAACAGTCACAACATGGGCATCAAGCAATGCAAACTTCCCTGTCCACCGCCCCTAACTCCCTGTCAGTCCAATTTAGCCCTTATCAGAGGGACCACATCTAGCAGTAGCACAGTCAGTCCTTGGGACCTTTGCTGAGGTTGCCAATAAGGGCCAATGGCAGCAGTGATTAGTGTGCATTAGGAACTAGGCTGAGACCATTTCTCCTTGACCCCCACAACACACCTTTCAAGATCCATGTGTCCTATACGTGCCTATCACAACATGTGGTGTACCTCACCCAGCATACTAAGGGTATGTCTACACTGCAATTAAAAACCCGTGGCTGGCCTGTGCCAGCTGATTTGAGCTCATGGGCCTTGGGCTAAGGGGCTGTTTAATTGCAGTGTAAATGTTTAGGCTGGAGCCCAGCCCCTAGGACCTTGTGAGGTGGGAGGGTCCCAGAGCTTGGGCTGAAACCCATGCTGGACCATCTACACTGCAGTTAAACAGCACCTTAGCCTGAGGCCCATGAGCCAAAGTCAGCTGGTACGGGTCAGCTGCAAGTGTCTAATTACAGTGTAGACATATCCTAAATACCCCAAAAACTATGTGGGTGAAACAAAACAAACTCTCAAATGAACTCTCACAGGGCAGGTCTGTACTTAAAATGCTGCATCAGTGCAGCTGCACCGCTGTAGTAGTTAAGTGAAGACCTTTCTATGCTAACAGGAGAGCTGCTCCCAGCAGTGTAGTTAATCCACTTCTGTTAGGCGGTAGCTATGTTGATGGGAGAAGCTCTCCTGCTGACATAGCGCTGTCTACATAAGGGGTTAAGTCAGTATAACTACGTTGCTCAGGGGTGTGGATTTTTTGTAGTTATACCAATATAAGTCTGTAGTGTAGACCTGGCCACAGAAATACGAAAATACAAAAACACCATATTACTCGTGTGTGGACACTCATAAAATGATCATTCCATACCTGACCTCTCAGAAGAAACCTGCACAACATCCTCAAAAGATGAGCCTGGGAGCTTACATTCATAATTTTGCTAGATACTAAAAATCATGAACTCAATAAAGGCATTGTTGTAATGAGCTATAAATCCAGTCTGTAATCCACTAACCCACTTTTGTCCTACCACTGCAAGGTGTTAACTGTTCACTTCACCTTGAATGGTCTCTTGCAACATGTTAACTCCTTTCCTTAACAATGTGTTCCATCTTGTATTAAGCTGTGGCATTCTGAGTACCTTTTCCAGACCCGAAAAAGAGTGCTGTGTAAGGGTATGTCTACACTATGAAGTTAGGTCGAATTTATAGAAGTTGATTTTTTAGAAGTCGATTTTATACAGTTGATTGTGTGAGTCCCCACTTAAGACCATTAAGTCGTCGGAGTGTGTCCACAGTACCGGGGCTAGCGTCGACTTCCAGAGTGTTGCACTATGGGTAGCTATCCCGCAGTTCCCGCAGTCTCCACCGCCCATTGGAATTCTGGGTTGAGATCCCAATGCCTGATGGGGCAAAAACATTGTCACGGGTGGTTCTGGGTACATGTCATCAGCCCCCTCCCCTTCCCCGGTGAAAGCAATGGCAGACAATCATTTTGTGCCTTTTTTCCTGGGTTACCTGTGCAGACGCCATACCACAGCAAGCATGGAGCCCGCTCAGCTCACTGAAACCGTACGTGTCCTGGGTGCTGGCAGACACGGTACTGCTACACAGCAGCAGCTCATTGCCTTGTGGCAGCAGACGGTGCAGTACGACTGGTAGCCGTCGTCATCTCCTGGGTGCTCGTGGCTGACCTCGGTGAGGTCGGTCGGGGGCGCCTGGGCAGACATGGGTACTCCTGGCAGACCTCGGACATAAATGGGAGTGACTCCAGGTCATTCCCTTCTTGACTTTCGTCTCATGGAGATTCAGCCTGCCTAGAAATGATGACAGCTACAGTCGTACTGCACCGTCTGCTGGCGAGCACCCAGGAGACAATGACGGCTAGCAGTCGTACTGCACCGTCTGCTGCCAGCCTACCCCTTGCTCCCCCCTCCCTTCCTCAGTCAAAGCAACGGTGACAATAGTTTCACGCCTTTTTCCGTTCGGGTACCATATTGCTGTCAGCATCATCATCCACCCGCTGCTTCTGCTGCCACTCTGTTCTCCTGCAGATGCCATACCACGGCAAGCATGGAGCCCGCTCAGATCACCGCGGCAGTTATGAGAGTTGTAAACAACACGTACGTTATTCAGCAGTATATGCAGAACCAGCACCTGCAAAAGCAGGCGAGGAGGTGACGGCAGCACGGTGAGGAGAGTGATGAGAACATGGACACAGACTTCTCTCAAAGTACGGGCCTCGGCAATGTGGACATCATGGTGGTAAGGGGGCAAGTTCATGCCGTGGAACGCCGATTCTGGGCCCTGGAAACAAGCACAGACTGGTGGGACCGCATAGTGTTGCAGGTCTGGGACGATTCCCAGTGGCTGCGAAACTTTCACATGCGTAAAGGCACTTGCATGGAACTTTGTGACTTGCTTTCCCCTGCCCTGAAGCACAAGAGTACCAAGATGAGAGCAGCCCTCACAGTCGAGAAGCGAGTGGCAATAGCCCTCTGGAAGCTTGCAACGCCAGACAGCTACTGGTCAGTCGGGAATCAGTTTGGAGTGGGCAGATCTACTGCGGGGGCTGCTGTGATCCAAGTAGCCAACGTAATCACTGAGCTGCTGCTACCAAGGGTAGTGACTCTGGGAAATGTGCAGGTCATAGTGGATGCCTTTGCTGCAATGGAATTGCCGAAATGTGATGGGGCGACAGACGGAACCCATATCCCTATCTTAGTACTGGACCACCAAGGCAGCGAGTATGTGAACCGCAAGGGGTACTTTTCAATTGTGCTGCAAGCACTGGTGGATCACAAGGGACGTTTCACCAACATCAACGTGGGATGGCCGGGAAAGGTACATGACGCTCTCATCTTTAAGAATTCTGGTCTGTTTCAACAGCTGCAGCAAGGGACTTTCTTCCCAGACCAGAAAATAACCTTTGGGGATGTTGAAATGCCTATAGTTCTCCTTGGGGACTCAGCCTACCCCTTAATGCCATGGCTCATGAAGCCAGACACAGGCAGCCTGGTCAGTAGTCAGGAGCTGTTCAACTATAGGCTGAGCAAGTGCAGAATGGTGGTAGAATGTGCATTTGGAAGTTAAAAGTGCGCTGGTGCAATTTACTGACGTGGTTAGACCTCAGTGAAACCAATATTCCCATTGTTATTACTGCTTGCTGTGCGCTCCGCAATATCTGTGAGAGTAAGGGGGAGATGTTTATGGCGGGGTGAGAGGTTGAGGCAAATCGCCACTGATTACGCGCAGCCAGACACCAGGGCAGTTAGAAGAGTACAGGAGGGCACGGTGCGTATCAGAGAAGCTTTGAAAACCAGTTTCATGACTGTCCAGTCTACGGTGTGACAGTTCTATTTGTTTCTCCTTGATGAAAACCCGCCCCCTTGGTTCACTCTACTTCCCTGTAAGCCAACCGCCCTCTCCTCCTGCCTTCGATCACCGCTTGCGGAGGCAATAAAGTCATTGTTGTTTCAAATTCATGCATTCTTTATTAATTCATCACACAAATAGGGGGATAACTGCCAAGGTAGCCCGGGAGGGGTGGTGGAGCAGGGAAGCACCAGGTGGGGTGGGTGAGGAGGGAAGGACAAGGCCGCACAGCACTTTAAAAGTTTAAAACTTATTGAATGCCAGCTTTCTGTTGCTTGGGCAGTCCTCTGGAATAGAGTGCTGGGTGCCTGGAGGGCCCCCCCACCGCGTTCTTGGGCGTCTGGGTGGGGAGGCTATGGAACTTGGGGAGGAGGGTGGTTGGTTACACAGGGGCTGTAGCAACTGTCTGTGCTCCTGCCTTTCCTGTAGCTCAGCCGTACTTCAGAGCATATCAGTTTGATCCTCCAGTAGCCTCGGCATTGACTCCTGCCTTCTGTCAGCAAGCTGACGCCACCTATCATCTTCAGCCCGCCACCTGTCCTCACATTCATATTGTGCTTTCCTGGACTCTGACATTGCTTGCCTCCACGCATTCTGCTGGGCTCTTTCAGTGTGGGAGGACAGCATGAGCTCAGAGAACGTTTCATCGCGAGTGCGTTTTTTTTCGCCTTCTAATCTTCGCTAGCCTTGGGGACGGAGATGATACTGCGAGCGTTGAAACATTTGCAGCTGCGGGAGGGGGAAAAAGGGAGAGTAGTAGTTAAAAAGACACATCTTAGAGAGCATTGGGTAGACTCTTTCATGGTGAACCTTGCTGTTAACATTACATAGCACATGTGCATTTGGTACAAGGTCGCACTTTGCCTCTTATCTTGAGGGTCTGCCTGTTTGGTGTGAGACATAACACGTTCTCGGCTGGGCAACGGAATTCGGCTTGCAGGCAGCCATGGTAAGGCAAAGGGTTTCGGCTTCTTCAACCTTCATAACGTGGGAATGGTTTCAAAGAGCAGAGCCCTCCTTTCCCATACCAAGCAGCCGTTGGGTTGGCCCTTTAAAATGGGTTGGCAGTTTAAAAGAAGGGGCTGCAGTTTTCAGGTTAACGTGCAGCACAAACCGAATTAACTCCCCCCCTGCTCCCCCAACCCACACCCAATTCTCTGGGATGATCGCTTCACCCCCTCCCCCCACCACGTGGTTAACAGCGTGGATGATTTCTTTTCAGTCACAGGCACACGGACTTATAAAGCAAGGTCAGTTCCTCACACTGAATGTCTTAAGGGTCTTCCTTCAACAGGGCATCAAGACAGAAAGAAGCATGGTGGTGCAGTGGTTTATAATTTCTCTTATGGAAGGTCAATGTTAAGATAAATGTTTTTGTGGTATTGAAAGTGCCAAAATGAAGCAGAGTTTGGTTGTCCTTGAATAAAAATCCCACCTGATATCCACATAGACAGGCGGTATAGTTCATGCAGGTTGTAGGTGCTGTTCTTGACATCTGGGCATTGAATTACTACCACTGTGTTATGAAATGGTAGCTGTTGCTACCTTCTCATGATTAAAGTTGCTACCAAGTATTTCAGACCCCAGCTTTCCCCAACTGCCCTACTTCCCAGTCCACAAGCAGAGGCTTCAAAATTGGTAGATTTGGTTTGGGGCAAGGAAGAAGTTTGTATGGAAAATGAGTGTGGGGAGCAGACTAGGAAGTCTTTGCACCTTGGGTCACTTTCCTGGCATCCCTAGTCCCCCTTCAGATCCTATCTCATTGCTTTGCTTCCCGTACCTATACCATTCTCTGCAGACCTGCTAAGATCATAGAATCATAGAATATCAGGGTTGGAAGGCACCTCAGGAGGTCATCTAGTCCAACACCATGCTCAAAGCAGGACCAATCCCCAATTAAATCATCCCAGCCAGGGCTTTGTCAAGCCTGACCTTAAAAACTTCTAAGGAAGGAGATTCCACCACCTCCCTAGGTAATGCATTCCAGTCTTTCACCACCCTCCTAGTGAAAAAGTTTTTTCCTAATATCCAACCTAAATCTCCCCCACTGCAACTTGAGACCATTACTCCTTGTTCTGTCATCTGCTGCCACTGAGAACAGTCTAAATCAATCCTCTTTGGAACCCCCTTTCAGGTAGTTGAAAGCAGCTATCAAATCCCCCCTCATTCTTCTCTTCCGTAGACTAAACATCCCCAGTTCCCTCAGCCTCTCCTCATAACTCATGTGTTCCAGTCCCCTAATAATTTTTGTTGCCCTCCGCTGGACTCTTTCCAATTTTTCCACATCCTTCTTGTAGTGTGGGGCCCAAAACTGGACACAGTACTCCAGATGAGGCCTCACTGATGTCGAATAGAGGGGAACGATCACGTCCCTTGATCTGCTGGCAGTGCCCCTACGTATACATGCCAAAATGCCATTGGCCTTCTTGGCAACAAGGGAACACTGTTGATTCATATCCAGCTTCTCGTCCACTGTAACCCCTCGGTCCTTTTCTGCAGAACTGCTGCCTAGCCATTCGGTCCCTAGTCTGTAGCGGTGCATTGGATTCTTCTGTCCTAGGTGCAGGACTCTGCACTTGTCCTTGTTGAACCTCATCAGATTTCTTTTGGCCCAATCCTCCAATTTGTCTAGGTCCCTCTGTATCCTATCCCTACCCTCCAGCGTATCTACCTCTCTTCCCAGTTTAGTGTCATCTGCAATCCTGCTGAGGGTGCAATGCACACCATCCTCCAGATCATTTATGAAGATATTGAACAAAACTGGCCCGAGGACTGACCCTTGGGGCACTCCACTTGATACCGGCTGCCAACTACACATGGAGCCATTGATCACTACCCGTTGAGCCCGACAATCTAGCCAGCTTTCTATCCACCTTATAGTCCATTCATCCAGTCCATACTTCTTTAACTTGCTGGCAAGAATACTGTGGGAGACAGTGTCAAAAGCTTTGCTAAAGTCAAGGAACAACACGTCCACTGCTATCCCTTCATCCACAGAACCAGTTATCTCATCATAGAAGGCGATTAGATTAGTCAGGCATGACCTTCCCTTGGTGAATCCATGCTGGCTGTTCCTGATCACTTTCCTCTCCTCTAAGTGCTTCAGAATTGATTCCTTGAGGACCTGCTCCATGATTTTTCCAGGGACTGAGGTGAGGCTGACTGGCCTGTAGTTCCCAGGATCCTCCTTCTTCCCTTTTTTAAAGATGGGCACTACATTAGCCTTTTTCCAGTCGTCCGGGACTTCCCCCGATCGCCATGAGATTTCAAAGATAATGGCCAATGGCTCTGCAATCACATCCTCCAACTCCTTTAGCACTCTCGGATGCAACGCATCCGGCCCCATGGACTTGTGCACGTCCAGCTTTTCTAAATAGTCCCTAACCACTTCTTTCTCCACAGAGGGCAGGTCACCTCCTCCCCATGCTGTGCTGCCCAGTGCAGTAGTCTGGGAGCTGACCTTGTTCACGAAGACAGAGGCAAAAAAAGCACTGAGTACATTAGCTTTTTCCACATCCTCTGTCGCTAGGTTGCCTCCCTCATTCAGTAAGGGGCCCACACTTTCCTTGACTTTCTTCTAGTTGGTAACATACCTGAAGAAACCCTTCTTGTTACTCTTAACATCTCTTGCTAGCTGCAACTCCAGGTGTAATTTGGCCTTCCTTATTTCACTCCTGCGTGCCCGAGCTATATTTTTATACTCATCCCTGGTCATTTGTCCAATCTTCCACTTCTTGTAAGCTTCTTTTTTGTATTTAAGATCAGCAAGGATTTCACTGTTAAGCCAAGCTGGTCGCCTGCCATATTTACTATTCTTTCTACACATCGGGATGGTTTGTCCCTGTAACCTCATTAAGGATTCTTTAAAATACAGCCAGCTTATTTTACTTGTTTACTTCCTGCTTATTTCAGGATGTTTACAGAAGTTGGAGAGGTATAGGAAAAGTATAGTGCTTGGGGACAGTGAGGTCACAAGATGGGAGCGTCACTCCTTCCTCCTTTTCACGAGCGTGGTCGACAACTCTGTCTAGTTCACTGTGGAGGGGGTGTGAGGATTGATTCTTCAGATTATCATGTTTGGCTTTCTTTCTTCCACTCTTCTCAGTTTCCCATCCTCATCCTTGGTGACTTCGGTCTCCAAATTGATACCCCTCTGCCCCACACCTGACTACTTGTCCTCCTGTCTTTATGATTTTAAACCACGATGTAGCTTGCTCACTTACCAAAATGGCCACTCACCTGATTTTGCTTTCACTAAAAGCTGTTCCTTCTTGATTTCCCTGTATCCAAAGGCTTCTTCAGACAGAAAATCTGTCCTGGTAAAGAAGGGATGTGAAAGCAGCAGTTTTATCAAATGGAAAAAGAGAAAGTTGATAGTAGTGATTTGATAGTAAATTAGCAGTTATACAGTGCAGACCATTGATAAGGCAGAAAGTAAAAGCATGAATGAAAAAAATGTGCAGTAAGATGTTAGTTGGCTAATTTATAATCCATTTGACAGATCTCAAAAAGTAACTAATTGCATCCGATGAAGTGAGCTGTAGCTCACGAAAGCTTATGCTCAAATAAGTTGGTTAGTCTCTAAGGTGCCACAGGTACTCCTTTTCTTTTTGCGAATACAGACTAACACGGCTGTTACTCTGAAACCTAAATGGAGACTCATCATCTGAAAACATTTTTAATAGTAAGTGTAACTAACTTTTCTAGGGACATGCTGGATTCTTCATCTCTTGGAGTCTTTAAATCAGGAATGGATGTTTGTTTCTAAAAGACATGCTGTAACTCACAAGAAGTTATGGGCTTAAAGTCCTGCACTTAGGAAGGAAGAATCCCATGCACCGCTACAGGCTGGGGACTGACTGGCTAAGCAACAGTTCTGCAGAGAAGGATCTGGGGATTACAGTGGATGAGAAATCAGCAGTGTGCCCTTGTTGCCAAGACAGCCAGCGGCATATTGGGCTGCATTAGTAGGAGCATTGCCAGCAGATCGAGGGAAGTGATTATTCCCCTCTATTAGGCACTGGTGAGGCTACACCTGGAGTATTGTGTTCAGTTTTGTCTCCCTACTACAGAAGGGATGTGGACAAATTGGAGAGAGTCCAGCGGAGGGCAATGAAAATTATTAGGGGGCTGGGGCACATGACTTACGAGAAGAGGCTGAGAGAACTGGGGTTATTTAGTCTGCAGAAGAGAAGAGCAAGGGAGGATTTGATAGCAGCCTTCAACTACCTGACTGGGGGGACCAAAAAGGGTGGAGCTAGGCTGTTCTCAGTGGTGGCAGATGACGGAACAAGAAGCAATGGTCTCAAGTTGCAGTAGGGGAGGTCTAGGTTGGGTATTAGGAAAAACTTTTTCACCAGGAGGGTGGTGAAACACTGGAATGCGTTACCTAGGGGAGGTGGTGGACTCTTCATCCTTAGAGGTTTTTAAGGCCTGGCTTGACAAAGCCCTGGCTGGGATGATTTAGTTGGGGCTGGTCCTGCTTTGAGCAGGGGATTGGACTAGATGACTTCCTGAGGTCTCTTCCAACCCTAATATTCTATGATGTGGGAATCAGTGGGTAAAGTTCTCTGGCCTGGCCTCTGCAGGAGGTCAGACTAAATGATTTTATTGGTGCCACCTGGCCTTAAGTTTTATGAATCCTCTTTCTCAGACTGCCAGTCAGTCTCACTGTATATGATCCACTCACCTTCTACATCCCACTTCTCTATAATCCTCAGGCTGATGACTTCTTACACTCTTCTTACCCTCTTTCTTTTGCACCCTCATTCTGCTTTCTCCATCACCTTTGACTCCTGTTCCCCTCTCTTCTACTGTAAAGTGCATCCCAGTAGCCCACAGCACTGGCTCAGTCTGTTTACTCCACTCCTGCGTTGCCTGCACCTTCACAGGAAGTCCCAGGACTGCACTGATTTCCTCCACTACTGGATTATTTTCTTCTCCTTCAACTCTGGCAGTTCCGTGGCCAAGCAACAACCCTTCCTTACTGAACCCTTATCCATAAATGTTTAATTTCATCTTTGTCAAGAGAAGCTCGGGTGCTTCTCTCTGAATCATGCACGTCTAGTACTGACACTGCCCCCTTTAGCCATATACAGGCTTCAGGAAAAAAATCTACTTCACAAGTCACATCCTGAAGACCTCATTAAGGGCCTGTGCATGCTGACAGGAGGTCCTCAACAGCTTGCAGGAGCAGACTTTGTGGTTCTGTATGCTAGCCATTTATCCAAGAGTCAATAGAAACAGAGTCATCAGGTTTACAATAGAGACATGAAACCAATTATAAACTGAACTGGGGGAGGGATAGCTCAGTGGTTTGAGCATTGGCCTGCTAAACCCAGGGTTGTGAGTTCAATCCTTGAGGGGGCCATTTAGGGATTGGGGCAAAAATTGGGGATTGGTCCTGCTTTGAGCAGGGGGTTGGACTAGATGACCTCCTGAGGTCCCTTCCAACCCTGATATTCTATGAAGCACAATCTCAGTATTTCACCTGCACACACGAGTACTGTGGCTTCTCGGAATTTAATATGTCCACAGTTGATGGATCCTTTAAAGCCCTTAGAAAAAATATTTGATCCAAAATAACACCTCTTACAAAATAACAAAAGGAAGATGGAAGGTTGGCATTGCTAATTGGGCCAGAGTTAAGGTTGACTGGGTACCTTAACTGTGCATTTCTCTATTTTCATATGTTTTTCATGCAAGTTTAACCTTGGCTCTGAAATTCCTGGCTTTTTAGTAGAACTATGAAGTTCTTGTAAGGATTTTTATCCTTAAATTACTGATCTGTCCCTTCAATCTTAACTCTAGCTTAATGGAACTTTTTGTGTGGTGTGTTTATAAAGACAGGCATGAGATGGTTGCTCCACACAACCCATAATGTGTCAGGCAGCCAGTCCAAGGGGAAGAGTTGGGGGGAACTCTCCTTCACTCCTCGCTTCTGCATGTCAGATGACACAGGCGCTGACTTTTATTTTTCGCAGTGGGTGCTCTACCCCAGGCCCCACTCCTGGTTGGCCTATTCCCCAAGGCACTGCCCTTGCTCCACCTCTTCCTGCCCAGCCCCCTCCCCTAAGACCTCCTGCCTGCCCGCTGCTCCCTCCTCTCTGCCCCCTCCCCCAGATGCTCACCAAATAACTGATCAGGCGGCCAGCACCAGGGCAAAACCACTGTGGATAGTGGGTGCTGAGCACTGCCTTATTTTTTTCCCTGGGTGCTTGAGCCCTGGAGCACCCATGGAGTCTGCGCCTATGCCAGGTGATGTTAGTGAGTCTGCTGTTCATCTTAGGTTAAATACCACCCATTAAGCTTCTGTTGTGTCAAATCTCATCTGGCTTCTTCCAAAATACAGTTTCCCTGAGGCATCCTTCTACACAAAAGAAACACTTATGCTGTCTTCTCTACACACGTGTGTATGCACACACACACACATGCTGAATTCTCCAAGGAAATTCCTTCATCTCTATCTTTTCCCTTTTTACATACACTGAAAAGGCAGAGTACTCTGCAGGGACAACTTCTAAGAGCCATCACTGGGTTTTTGGTCTGACCTCTGGAAAATAAACCATTATCTCCCTTGCTTTTAATTTGTAGCTTTCAGAAAAAGATAAACCATATGTGGATATCCAAGGGTTGACAGCCTCTACTATGGAAATCCTGCTGGACTTTGTGTATACAGAAACGGTTCATGTGACGGTAGAAAATGTCCAGGAATTGCTCCCAGCAGCATGTCTGCTTCAGCTGAAAGGTAATTGCAAACCAATTAACCATGCAGATTGTACAGTTGATGCTGTTAAGGGCTCTGGAATGTCTGACTTGTAAGTAAAGGAAAGATTGCAGAAGGCAGAATAGGGTGCTGGGCTGTTTCCAGACCCAAGTCTTTTTGTGTTGAAATTGCATAATAGCCGTTTGTCAAATGTGCTGCTGTATGTACTCTGTTCTCACTGATAAGAAAGTTTAACCCTCGTGGAGAAATGGTGATAAAACAAATAATTGTCCCAAGGCATCTCTCACTCTAAGGTCCTATAGATCCCCGAGCTCTGTAAGGCTTCCTTTTGAGTCTCTCCTATATTTGTCAAGTTATTTTTAGTATGTATAAATAGTCAGTGGTCTAAACATACCGTCTGTTGCTTTATTTTTTCCTGGCCCCTGAAGAAATGTTTGCCTATATGTCTCTTTGTGTGTGTGCATACCTCTAAGCAAGGTTTTGGGGTTGACATTTCAATATAGACTAGAACTTGGTTTTCTAAATTACTTTCCAAAGCAGGGATTGGATAGCAGAAGTGCATGAGCTCACTCACTCATCTCATTTCTATAGGTGTGAAGCAGGCTTGTTGTGAGTTCTTGGAAAGCCAGCTGGATCCATCAAACTGTTTGGGCATCCGAGATTTTGCTGAGACACACAACTGCGTTGATCTAATGCAGGCAGCAGAGGTCTTCAGCCAGAAACACTTCCCAGAGGTGGTTCAGCATGAAGAGTTCATCCTCTTAAATCAGGAAGAGGTGGAAAAGCTCATCAAATGTGATGAAATTCAGGTAAAGGTAGCAGGATTTGTTGTGCAAATCAGTGAGAGCAAAATACTGCTTGAAAACAAAGCAAATAACGGTATGTCTAGCCCTCTTCCATTTCCCCCACATTGGTTAGTTCATAAAACTCTTGGAATGGCTATCTCAGGCAGACTTTGAATGCTCTACTGAAATCTGCTTCTTACTGAATCAGCTGCATATTCTGAAACTGACAGGTAGAGTGTAACCTCCCCTCTGCAGCAAGGTAGCTGTCATTTGAACATGGAGAATGAAACATTGGTTACTGTGTTCGTTACTAACTGTTATGAAAAGACCAGTACTACAAACCAAAACCAAATTAGTTACGATCAAGGAGAAAGGCCAAGACACAACAGACATGGGGGATATTTCTCTCTGGTGTAGAACAGAAATTGTGAACTCTGGCCTGGGCTTAACAGTGGGTGATCAGCTGGGTTAACAGTTGTAGTTACAAAAATAGTTACAATGGAATATATTTATTAGGCATCAGGTTATGCTTAGGCCAGTGTTGATTGTTGTTAGGATAGTGCTTGTGGATTCTGCTTTCATCTCCGGTGCGTTCTGTACAGGCAGGAAATATCTCACTCTGGAAGAGTGAGATACCTTCCTTGCCTGTCAAATAGCTTACTGTAGTTAAAATCATCAAGTGACCTGTGCCCTACACTACAGGGGAAGGTGAAAAAATCCCAGGGTTACTGTCAATTTGACCTGGGGGGGAAATTCCTTTTCCACCCCAAATATGGTGATCAGGTAAACCCTGAGCATGTGGGTGAGACCCACCAACCAACTACCTGGGAAAGAATTCTTTGTAATAACTCTGAGCCTTCCCCATCTAGGGTCCATCTCTGGAGATATTTGTTAATAACAGTCGCAGATGATCCATATGCCACTGTAGGCTACCTCATCGTACCATCCTCTACATAAATTTATCAAGCTCAGTCTTGAAAGAGGTTAGGTTTTTGCCCTCACTACTTTTCTTGGAAGGCTTCACTCCTCTGATGGTTAGAAACCTTTGTCTAGTTTCAAGCCTAAACTTGTTGTTGGGCAGTGTATATCCCTTTGTTCTTGTGCCATCAATGGCCCTTAAACACCAGGGAGAGAGAGGAGTTGTTATCCTTCTGATAGCAATTATATCTTCCCCTCTGCCTTCGTTTTGTTAGGCTAAACCAGCCAACCTTCTTAAGTCTCCTCTCATAAAGTAGGTTTTCCTTTCCTCTGATCATCCTAGTAGCCCTTTCCTGCACCTGTTCCAGTTTGAATTCATCTTTCTTATACATAGGAGACTAGAATTGCTCACAGTTTTCCAGATGAGGTGTCATCAGTGCCTTGTATAATGGCAATGACACTTCCCTGTCTCTTCTAGGAATACCTCACCTGATGCATCCTAGGATTGTATTAGCCTTTTTCATGGCTGTATCACATTAGTGATTCATAGTCATCCTGTGATCAACCAGTCCATCCAGGTCTTTTTCCTGTTCTGTCGCTTGCAACTGATAAGTCCCCAGCTTGTAGCAAAAACTTCTGTTGTTAATCCCTAAATGCATGATCTTGCACTCTCCACTATTAAATTTCATCCCATTTCTATTACTTAGCTTTCAAGGTTCTCCAAATTTTGTATGATATTCCGGTCCTTCTCCACATTGGCAATATCTCCAATTTTGTGTCATCTGCAAAGTTTATTAGTACACTCCCACTTTCTGTCAAGGTCATTAATGAAAATGTTAAATAAGATTGGTCCCAAGACTGATCCTTGAGGCGTTCCACTTGTACACACACACACACACACACACTCTCTCTCTCTCTCTCCTCCCCCCCCCCCCCGATAGTTCACTTTTCAGTATAACCTGGTGTAGTTTCCCCTTTAACCACCTTTCGATTCTTGTATTAATCCTCACCTTTTCCAATTTAACTAATAATTACCCACATGGAACTGTATCATATGCTTTACGGAAATCCAGTTAGATTAGATCTACTGCTTTTTCTTTGTCTAGATTAAAAGTCTTATCTCAAAGAAAGAGATCAGATTGGGTCTAGCACAATCTACCTTTTGTAAAACCGTGTTGTATTTTATACAAATTACCATTTATCTCTGTCTTTAATTATGCTCTCTTTCAGAATTTGTTCTAAAATCTTGCATACAACTGAGGTCAAACTACTGGGCTTGTAGTTTCCCAGATCATGTTTTCCTTCCCTTTCTTAAATATGAGCACAATAGTTGCAATTCTCTAGTCATAAGGTACGAATCCTGAGTTTATGGATTTGTTAAAAAATCCTTGCTACTGGGCTTTCAATTTCATGTGCCAGTTCCTTTAATATTCTTGGATGGAGATTATCCCAGCCTCACGATTTGGTCCCATTAAGCTGTCTGAGTTTGGCTTCTGCCTCATGTGGTAATTTCTACTTCCATTTCCTTGTGCCCACTAGCCACCTGGCAGCTCCCCCCAAGATCCCCATTAGCTTTATTCGCAGAAAGAAAAGGAGTACTTGTGGCACCTTAGAGACTCACCAATTTATTTGAGCATGAGCTTTCGTGAGCTACAGCTCACTTCATCAGATGAAATCTGATTCTGACATCTGATGAAGTGAGCTGTAGCTCACGAAAGCTCATGCTCAAATAAATTGGTGAGTCTCTAAGGTGCCACAAGTACTCCTTTTCTTTTTGCGAATACAGACTAACACGGCTGTTACTCTGAAACCTGTCATTAGCTTTATTGAAAACTGAGGCAAAGTATTCATTTAGGTGTTGGGCCATACCTAAATAATCTTTAATCTTCATGCCGGATTCCCCCTTCTTTTGTTGTCTTCTTTTTATATATATGGTTAAAGAACCATTTATAATGGTTTTTAATTTCCTTTGCAAGATTCAGCTCTGCTTGGCTTTTGGCAGTTCCCACTTTATCCCTAAACCTCCAGACCTCCAAGAGGTAGCTTTCCTTGCTAATCCATCCCTTATTCCATGCCTTGTAGGCTTTCTGATTTATCTTAATAACCTGTTTGAGATGCTTGAGCTGCAACCCTTCCCTATGAGGTTCCCACCCACCCTCCCTTGCTTGGGATGCAAGTTCCAGGTGGTTTCTGCAACTTTGACTTAAAGTAGTTCCAAGCCTCCTTCACATTTGCTGTTGCATACGTCAGCTCTGGTCAGAGAGGAGAGCTTACAGAAATTGTGGCTCCAAAAGCAGTGGAGCCTTTCATGTTAAGAGCATTTTCTGCAAATAAATTAATAGCATTTACTACCCAGTATTTTTGGTTGACCTAGAGAGCTCTCTGTGGTTCTTGTGCATAGCATCTTTTTCTCCATTTCCTGAAGAAGCTATCAGACATTCCAAAAACAATTGGTGTTGGTGCCCAGTGTCTGATTTCAGAAATACATTTAGGTCTTTAATTTCTATCCGTCATTCTTTGTATGCTGCTGAGTAGCATACAAATACATGCACCATCCCTATGAATGTGGGATTCTTCCACCTAGGTGAGCAGTAAACCACAGGAGTGTATAGGCACAAGTTTGAAATATAGACAGTATAGAGCCAATCATAGAATATCAGGGTTGGAAGGGACCCCAGAAGGTCATCTAGTCCAACCCCCTGCTTGAAGCAGGACCAATTCCCAGTTAAATCATCCCAGCCAGGGCTTTGTCAAGCCTGACCTTAAAAACCTCTAAGGAAGGAGATTCTACCACCTCCCTAGGTAATGCATTCCAGTGTTTCACCACCCTCTTAGTGAAAAAGTTTTTCCTAATATCCAATCTAAACCTCCCCCACTGCAACTTGAGAGCATTGCTCCTTGTTCTGTCATCTGCTACCATTGAGAACAGTCTAGAGCCATCCTCTTTGGAACCCCCTTTCAGGTAGTTGAAAGCAGCTATCAAATCCCCCCTCATTCTTCTCTTCTGCAGGCTAAACAATCCCAGCTCCCTCAGCTTCTCCTCATAAGTCATGTGTTCTAGACCCCTAATCATTTTTGTTGCCCTTCGCTGGACTCTCTCCAATTTATCCACATCCTTCTTGTAGTGTGGGGCCCAAAACTGGACACAGTACTCCAGATGAGGCCTCACCAATGTCGAATAGAGGGGAACGATCACGTCCCTCGATCTGCTCGCTATGCCCCTACCTATACATCCCAAAATGCCATTGGCCTTCTTGGCAACAAGGGCACACTGCTGACTCATATCCAGCTTCTCGTCCACTGTCACCCCTAGGTCCTTTTCCGCAGAACTGCTGCCTAGCCATTCGGTCCCTAGTCTGTAGCGGTGCATTGGATTCTTCCATCCTAAGTGCAGGACCCTGCACTTATCCTTATTGAACCTCATCAGATTTCTTTTGGCCCAATCCTCCAATTTGTCTAGGTCCTTCTGTATCCTATCCCTCCCCTCCAGCGTATCTACCACTCCTCCCAGTTTAGTATCATCCGCAAATTTGCTGAGAGTGCAATCCACACCATCCTCCAGATCATTTATGAAGATATTGAACAAAACCGGCCCCAGGACCGACCCTTGGGGCAGTCCACTTGATACCGGCTGCCAACTAGACATGGAGCCATTGATCACTACCCGTTGAGCCCGACAATCTAGCCAGCTTTCTACCCACCTTACAGTGCATTCATCCAGCCCATACTTCCTTAACTTGCTGACAAGAGTACTGTGGAAGACCGTGTCAAAAGCTTTGCTAAAGTCAAGAAACAATACATCCACTGCTTTCCCTTCATCCACAGAACCAGTAATCTCATCGTAAAAGGCGATTAGATTAGTCAGGCATGACCTTCCCTTGGTGAATCCATGCTGGCTGTTCCTGATCACTTTCCTCTCATGCAAGTGCTTCAGGATTGATTCTTTGAGGACCTGCTCCATGATTTTTCCAGGGACTGAGGTGAGGCTGACTGGCCTGTAGTTCCCAGGATCCTCCTTCTTCCCTTTTTTAAAGATTGGCACTACATTAGCCTTTTTCCAGTCATCCAGGACTTCCCCGGTTCGCCACGAGTTTTCAAAGATAATG